ATTGTATGTTTCTGTAAAAAATAAAAAATTATTGAAAAAATAAAAGCGTGCAATACTTTTGTCCCCCCCGGTACATTTATTCCGCATAAAAGAATTATCACAAAAAGAAATACAACTTAATTTCTCAATTATTTCGAAGCAAATGACAAATATTAGGTATAAAAAAAGGTTTCAAAATAGTTGCACAAAACTATAAGGAAAATCGGTCGAATAGGTAAAAAAAATTTTAAATTACAACGGAATTTACAGATGAAATTGCCTTTCAATTATTTAGAAACACTTCGAACAAAAATTTTGCACGGGCTGAATTTTGAAAAGGGAACAACATCTGTATTTTGTTACAAAAGATAATAACGGTTGTACATATTAAATTTGGTGCGATGGTTGTGAAACAATAATTCTAATTTTTTATTTTTTTATAAGATCGCCAAGGCGTTAATAATGTACTCATGCGAGAAGTTACGAGAATAAATGCTACATAACGCCCTTGTCCTCCCTTTTTTTTTAGTAAAATAGAACCAACTATATGTAATAGGAATTGACGCGTAATTTGCAAGTCTGATCATCTCTGATTATCATTATTATTTCCGATTGACTCTCTCCATCTTTATTCTTTCACTCAGAGTCCTAAAGTAAGGTGAATCAATTGCATATGCTAACGGTTCAATGTTGACTGAAATTACGTCATTTGTACCCTGTGATGAAAAATTTAGGTTCGGCAACCCTTCAAGTATTAATTCAAGAAATAATAAAGTTTATATCTTTTGTCATACCACAAGTTCTGGATAACACTCTCACGCCGAACGAAAGGTTTCAGTAAATAAATTACGCCTTCTCTTTATTGATCATACAAAATATTTTATATGTCGATCGAAATTGCAGAAATTCAAAAAAATTGAATTATAAAATTTCATTAGTAATGATTTTATTTAGTTTATATTTTATTCTTTTTATTTCCTACGAAAAAAATTTTAATAAATCTCGTTTTCAAACCAAATGCAATGAAATTTCTTTTAGTTTTTAAACTTGAAAATAGGAAGATAATAATAAACTTGTTAGCAAGCATATATTATGCATGCATGCTTTACTGTAACCATGTTTCACCAAATGCGGATGGCGACCTTGGCGAAAATCCCTCAGATAGGCGAAAATACCTCATCCAGTTGTTGGGGTGTTTTCCATTGTGTGCATAAATTAAAAAGATAAGCACAAATGATGTAGATCGAACTAAATTTCCGTGAGGTATTTTTGTAATTGGCTGAAATACCTATAATTTTAGAAACCTTTCATTCTATGGGAATAAATTTTGAGGCTTATAGGATTACACAAAGAGCATCAAGTGATCCATTGTCAACACAAGAACAAATGAGTTATTTTTGCCAGTACAAGGTTTCATCTTTATACGAGAAAATTTAACAAAAAGGGTAAATTTATTTTATTTTCGCAGATAAGCAAAATCTAATCAATGATCAGAATAAACTGATTGAAATTAGAAAAAATTACATATAAATACATCTCTTTCTACCTACATTTCCATTAGACCTTCTCAATTACAAAGAAAAAAAAAAAAATCCCAAACTTTCACCTCTTCTAAAACAAATAAAACAAAATGTCTTGCCCTTGTGGAGAAAATTGTGCTTGTGGAATGAGCTGCTCATGCGCATGCGGTGGTTCACCCGTTAATAATAATACCAATACTGAACCATGCGGAAATGGGTAAATAACTTTTCTTTCGCTTTATCGTCATTATGTATTTTTGAACATTTAAGTTTATAAATGCATTGAAAAATTGCATAGAACTTGCACTTGTGGAGAAGGTTGCGCATGCTCAACTAGCGACTGTATTTGCGGAAACTAAATGAATTTTGTAAGTAACACCTTTTACATCCTTTAATTGGAAAATCATCAAAGACGTTCTAACATTTATCTTATTTACATTAGGATATGTCAAAATAACGATATTAAATTTTCAAATATTTTTTTTTTCTTATTTAAATTATTTTATTTATTTATTTTATTTTTCATGTCCTATTATGTATTTTCGTTAAATAAATGATATATGTATTTTGTTAAATAAATAAAATCATTCAATATATTTATAAAAATCATGTAATTCGAAAAATGATTTCTTATGCCAAAGCAAAACAAAACGTACAAAAAACGTACCTCAAAGTCAAGTGATTTTTTGTACCTCAATGTTTATTATTGGCGTCACTTTTTAGAGGTGATCGGCATAATCGTTTATGTATTGTAACATTACGAACAATGAACTTTTCCCGAATGAATCTTTTTATTAAATAGAAATATATACACGCGGTATATTTAAATTATTAATGTAACCAGACAAATTTATCAAAATTATATAATATAGCCGACATTACACAAATACCGGGAATTTAATATGGGATGGCGCAAGCCTGGACGGTAATTATTGTTAAGAATAAAATGGTTGTTGGTTTCAAGTTAATTTCGTTTACTTAAAATAAAGACATATACTAAAGCAAATAATCTGAAAGATGACGCAACAAATATTAAACGCTGCGCCATTAGCGAAATGCGATTTTAGAATAGGATTATCAGCTAAAAGATAAATAATAATAATATTTAATTAAGATATATTTTGTATAGTCGATTTGTTGCGTGCAGTGATTTACCTGGAGAAAGATTTGGATTAATATTAAATCAACATCTATATCAACAAATAATTTAGAAGAGGTAAAGATATACTTTTTCCATTTCCATTATATTCACTCTATGTGGAATAATTAGCTATTATAGAGTAATTATAAATTATATTTTATGTAATTATTTACTTTACAATTTTAAATTATTTTTGTTCTTTTTAGGGAAGAATTGCCTCAAGATTCAAACTCGATAAATTTCTTATATCAGAATTATTTATACTCCTTTGAATTACTTTTGCTTAATTAAATTCATTTTTAAAATTCTCAATATTTTTTTTTTTTTTTGCGATTTCCCTAAACTTATTTATTGATCTTGCAAAATGGGAAAAAATTCACGGTATCTTAGATCTCCTAAAAAAGGTAAGTAAACGAACCATGTTTGGTTTATTTCAACTGCGGTAATAATAAGAAAAAAAGAACGTAAACTAAAAATGCTTGTGAGCTTCGAATTTTTACCCGTATCTGACTTAATTGATAGAGTTGTCCTGGTCTAATTTTTATCTCAGCTTATATTAAACGAAAAATCATAAATATTTTAAAGTGATATAAAGAATTTCTTTAATAATCATATTTATTATATAAAGTTAATTTTAGTTCTTAGTAGTTTAGTGATAAAATATCAATATATAATTTGTGAATTATTATTCTATTTAATTTTAAAATATACATTATTTTATCTAAGAAAAAAATACAAAAAAAAAAATGATGTTTTATTCTTGTTTTAAATTTATTATATTACAATATGCAGAAAAGTTTTTTATTACTAGCTAATGATAAAGTATTCTAAATATACTTTGATTAAGGAGGCTAAAGTATATTCATCTCCACTTCTACCGCACCCCGCTGTCCAAAACTTTTGAAAGCATATCAACTCAAAAGAAGAACCTAAATAATGCAAAATTTAAACAAAAAAAGAAATCACCAGTTAATATGCCCGCAATCAAATAATAATAATAATTTAATAAAAAACTTTATTGCGACCTAACTCTAACGAAATTACCAAACAAAAAAAATTAACACCAAATACAGTTTATGCTATATAGATGTTAGTGTCAGGTGATTCAACTTTATATAGTGGAAGCTATGGCCGTTTCCAAAAAGGAAGGAATAGGTATAAATTTGGTTAGCTTCATGCAGGAACTATGGGGCCGTTTTTATTTATATTGATATATTGATATTGAGATATCAATATTGATAGGATTTTTTTAAAAAAAAAAATTGGGACAGAAGAATCACATGAATAACTTAAGGAAGTTTTTGTAATTTTTATTATGTAATTATGTAAAAAAAAAAATAAAATAAAAAAATAATGATTACTAATAATTAATGATAAAATCAAAGAATTCGTCAAAGACTTATGCTGCGGTAACGAAATCCTGATAATTCCAGCTGAAGGGATAAACCGATCTAGCCTAAAAAAAATAAAAAAAATCACCGACGATCTAACCTAAACTGCCTAAAAAATTAAATAATCAAAACTAATTACCATACCAAAATAAGAAAAAGAAAAAAAAACCAATAAAATCAAGTCAACTTACCTTCAACACGGTGACGAACCAGACGGTACCGTTTAAAGGTTCTGTCCAAAAAAAAAAATAAAAATAAATATAAACTAAAAAAATAAAATAAAATAAACGGTTTACATTCGCCGCAGTGACTGAACCGGACGGTTCCATTCGAAGGTTCTTAGCCTAAGGGGAGAAACTGATCGAACTTACATAAATAAAAAAAAATAAATAAAAATATTAAAAAAAACAAATATAAAAAAAATAAAAAAAATAAATAACCAGACGGTTCCGTTCTAAAGTTCCATCCGTTATTGTCCTAAGAGAGGAAACTGATCTAACCTAAAATGAAAAAAAATAAAAAAAATAAAAAAATTATTAGACAAAAATCGCCCAATCGCAATATAAAAAACTAAAAACCAAAAAATTTTATTTCATTCTTTTTAATTTTTATTATTTTTTTTAAAAAATGAAACGAAAAAGCGAAATAAAAAAACGAAACTAAAAATTAAAAAGAAAAAGAAAATATGAAAAGAAAAAAAGAAAGGAAAAATGGAATTAAACGAACGACAGTAGTAAAATAAAATATTATACAAATAATTCGAGTCTTAAAAAATATAAAAAAAATTAAAACAAAAAAAAGATATTAAAAAACATATATACATATAAAAAGGACCGGGGAAGGTAAAAAATAAAAAAAAATATAAAAATAAAAAAGTCCCGGGGTATAATGTTAAAGCCCGAAGATACTTTCACTCGATTTAGTTGTCTTTGGATTATCACGCAAAGATATTCTAAATTAAAATAAACTTGATAAAAAAAAAAATACCATAAATTGGATGAACGTGTTTTACGTATTGATATTGAATCAACACATATTTGTTCTCAAGCATTGAATTAACAAAGATCTCGACGTTTAGTGAATATAATAAATAATTGTTTTAAAATGTATGTTAAAAATTTAATTGATTCTAAAATTGGGTCATTTAAAACCATTATATACAGTGGTGTGCAAAAAAAATGACAAAAAAGATCGACAAGTGTAACTAGCCCAATTTTGGTCGTACATACATAAATAAATATGCAAATGAAAGCCCTATGATTACTCTATCGCC